TGATTCCGAAATGTTTATCACACGCACACCCACATACACACCCCATCTCGCTGCCATCACATGGCTTCAAAAGGACCACACACACACAAGAAGAGGAGTTCAAAACAGGCTGGATGGTTCATGTGACTGCATGCAGCTCTGTTTTATCACACACACACACACACTGTTGCTCGACTTCCACCTCCATCTCCCCACGTTCCCTCTGCTGAGCCGGCCCATTCACGGCTCCTTTAATGGACTTCAGCCGGCAGCTTGTCAGAGAGGCTAACTGAGTCAGCTCCTCTAGAGCCAACATCCAATCTTGGCTTAAGCTCTGACTCACCTAGTTGTTAAAAAAAATAAAATAAAAAATCACCAAGCAGCACCGCACAGGTGGATTCACTCAGTCACAAATAAGCACATTACCCAAAATGTGACTCATTAATTGATATAGTCCCCTGTGGGAGTTACAGCTTTTGCTTAACAAGCTCATCCCTTTCAATATGTCATTTAAGGATTAAAGATGGTAAACTGTGCTAAAAAAAAAGGCAAAGAGGTGAAACAAAGGCATCCTGCTTTCACAAACAGTTATTCATAACTTACAAGTATTAATATTTAATGTGTTACCTGCGGTGTCTTTGTTCAGTAACCCTTTTATATAGATCCAGTTCATGGCAGGATGCACAAACGGTACTGTTTAAAGGGTTGTGCATTGGTCTCCAAGGTGGAAACAGAAGGAATTTATATAATTTTACTCCGACTTCAGCCTTCTGCTCATGGGTCAGATAAGATCCCCAAATGCTGTTTCATGAGTTATGTTTTATTCATGACTGGACCTCTGCACAGCATGCTTAGGGTCACCATTTGGGCTCCTGCACATCAATAAAAGGAATCGCAGTGAGTTTAGTTCATCAAAATAAGGTTTGTTTGTTTTTATTCTCTCTGAGCTCAAACAAGAGATCATATTTCAAGAAAAAACTGCAGCAAAAAAAATAAATAACTAGCTGAGGAAATAAAGTAAAATCCGAGACTGATGGTTTTAATTGTAAAAAGGTTATATTACATAAAATCAGGTAACTGTAACAATAATTAGTGACTAAAAATCAACCATTCCAATGGTGCTTCTGTAAGGCTTTGTGCTCTTTAGCATCCAGCTCTCAATCATTTATTTTGTTGTGTTTGGAATGTTACAAGAGCCATAAGGGTGACAGTGGCGTCAGATGTAGGAGTTTGCCCTGAAATCGAAGGATTGACGATTCAATCCCCGGCTCCGACATTGTTGTTGTGTCCTTGGGCAAGACACTTCACCTGCATTGTCTACTGATGGTGGTCAGAGGGCCTGGTGGCGCCAGTGTACGGCAGCCCAGCTTCTCCCAGTGAGCCCCTGGGCAGCTGTGGCTACAATGTAGCTTGCCACCATCAGTGTGTGCGTGAATGGGTGAATGAATGTAGTGTAAAGCTCTTTGGTCAAGTCTTCTGGCTTGAAAAAAGGTGCTATATAAGTACATAAGTAATAATAAAAACAACCAAAGCCAATTTCACAAAAACAGAATTCAGAATAAAAGTGAATAGAAATTACAGCCTCCACATTGATCCAAAGTAGTGCAACACTCTGCTTCTAGGTTGAAGGTAGAAAAACCTGACGTTACTACCATCCCAGGTGATAAATGAGAAAGGGTTTTGCTTAGTCTTACAGTAAATTTCCTATTTATTGCTCAATTAATCAAAAAATAACTAATATTACTCAATGTTGGGGAGGACAGAGTTTTGGAACAATAACAGAAATTCAGAGGCTTATATTGATCTACAAATTCTCTGACTACACCTTGAAATGGTGACTATAGCTCAGTGCCAGTCAGGGAGGATCCAGAGGTCCAGGAATAGTAATAACTCGTTATGGAGATGATAAAATAAAAAGAGATGCATTCTCTACGCAGCCCTCCTGCTCTTCAAAACACAGCTAATGGAGTGCGCGACCTTTTCTAACTGATGACGCCCACGCAGCCGCTTCAACACCAAACTCCATCAGGAAACTCTAATCCCAATTATGGGTAAAAATTACACTAACTCTTTTCCTTTCCAGCGGGGGAAAGATGAACACCTCAGGTGATGCCCTCGATGAAACCGACTCATAAAAACATAATGAGTAAAAGCTGTTAGAGGAAAAAGGTTATGGGACAAATTAAGTGTTTCCTCCATTTTTTAAAGTCTCTATTGGTCAGTGGGAAAAAAACCAGCCTGAAATCTGTTCTAAAACGAAATAAAACAGTGATGCAGTTGATTCCTTCCAGCTTTCATCGCGGCCTCCATCCAAATGCAGGGGAGCAGAGCATCTCCCTGTTCAGCCAAACCAATGCTTCCCTCTAACGACCCCCTTTCAGAGGCAAAGATGGGTATTGGGTATTGCAGGCTAACATCCTGGACCTCAGTTATTTGTCAACCGCCCATTCCCATAGGAGGACCCATTCATCCGGTTCAATTTGCATGTTTTGCATCAACGCTATTTCTGACATTTTGAAAAGAAAAAACGTCCTGGATGGGAAGCGAAACGTCTTCACACTTGGCAACAAGGTCCAGTGGATTTATTTTTTTACCTTTTTGGAATGTGCTAAATGAATGAAGATAAAAGCTATCTTCACCTGTGTATAAAAAAGTTTCAGTTTTAGGTGTTTGATTTGCATTAGCACCAAACAATGCAACCTATTCTCATTATGAGTGCATGTGAAATCGTACGAAAAGTTATGCACCTTAATTTCGTACGTTTTGGACGTTTTTTTCGTCGTATGCGCATGCGCATCTGATGCACCATTCACGAATATTGAATATAAATTACAATTAGCCCTAACCCTAAGATATAAAACAGCAAGCAACGTAGTTAGAGACATGAATAATTGATGATTGCACTGTTTTTCCCATTTTTACGTCCGTCCGCGGATCTGCTTTTTTTTTCTGTCTGCCAGCGCATGCGCACTGATGTGGTTTTTTGAGGAAAAATGTCCTAAACGTACGAAATAGTGTGCATAACTTTTCGTACGATTTCATACGAACTCATAATGAGAATATGTTGAACAATGCCTGTCAATGGTTCAACAATACAATTGGCTGCTAAAGGTGAAACAGGATCAGGATGGTTGTTAAAATGAATCCTATTCAGCGGCTTTCTTGGTCTAAAACCTTAAGAGAGACATTTTAAAGCATGTTGACAAAGCTATTTAATGTAAAGCTTACATTATGCTTTGTGATCTTGCTTTTACGCTTTTAACAGATCTCCAAAATGTCAAAGATGCTTGAATATTGCAAACATTTCAAGATTAAATTACTGATTTATGAAGTTAAAACAAAGCAAAAATCCTTGCATGCTGAAATTCAGCCCCCTGCATTTAAAGACTTATAATTTCTGTCCTGAATTTTAACCAATTTCCAACGAAGCCTATGAATAAAACAGGGTCAAAGTGAAGGTGGTTGTGAGTCCATTTCCACACCGTTGAAGGTTTCGAACGTCTTAAATGAGGAACATTAAAAAAAGAAAAAATTTCAGCTTTATTTTCCCATCAATGCTTAAATAATTGAGCTAAACAGCATATTTCTGTTGCTGTTTAGTCATGGATATTTCATTTTGCTCTTAAATGTCTTTATTTTCCTGGTTACGTTCAGCAAAGTAGTAAAAGTTTAGTTCTGGTCAGAGGTTTTTGCAGACACCTCTGCTGATGTGATCTGAAAGATTTTATGTTATGACAATTTTGAACAATTGGATGTAAATTAATTAATAAAATTTTTTTAAGTGTTTAAAACAACAGATCATAGCTGCATTTTAGTCCTGACACAAAATTCTGACAACTTCAAGCATCAGTTTATCCAAATGATCAGTACAGATGCAAAGCTGGAGGATAATCAGTCTATGACTAATCAGAAGATGGATTGCTCTTGAACAGAGTGTAAAAGATGTGCCGATATCATTTTCTTCCTTTTTTATAAACGGTTCCATCCAAAGTAAAGTAGCAGCCATGATATCTTGGCATCAAAATAACCCTGGATGCAGGAAATTGCTGCTGAGTTTATTCCTGTTTATATAATATATTTTTTTAATCTTTGAGAATAAAGTGTGCTACTATGAATATAGAGTTTGGTTAAATTTGGCAGATGAGGCTGACTAGATTTTTAAGAACAAAGGGAAATTGTTTTCTATCAGTTTGAGAAAGCTGTCAGAGATAAAAAACAGTTCAAACTTATTTCACGCAAATTTTGATTAGGATCGATTGATTTCCCAGCATAAAGAAAAATAAAATTACATCTAAATAGCTGAAAGATGGGTGCATGTAGAATTTGGAACAACCGTCTTAAACTCTACTTTTTGAAGCTCTGAAAAAGCAAATGTAAAAAGGAAAAATACAAGATTGTAATCATCTCAAAGGGCTAAGAAGAGAAAAAATGGGCTAGTATGAGTTAGAATTAGGTCCATGGGCTTATTTCAGTATGACAGAGAATCTTAGAAATTAGGATTATTTATCTCCTGCTCTCGATTTAGTAATTTTCGTCTTGAAGTGTTGAGCAGAGCTCCTAGAAACAGCCATAAGCGACCTTCTTACAGAAGATGTCCTCACATTACGCATCGTAATCAAATAAACTACAGAGGAAAATGTTTCCTCTGAAGATTTATTCCTGTTTTCTTTAAGCAAAAACTTTAAGTAAACTGTATGATACCCCGTTGGTTTAATAACACCTGATTTTCTTCTATTAAATGGTAAAACCGAAGCTCTCTGAGGCCTCATTAGATTCCAAACACTTTAACATGTCGCCTGAATAGGAAACAAAGCTAAAACTTGATTGTTTTTTCATTATTTTGCAATTTGCTTCATATTTACACTTTATACATGCAGACGTAGCAGGGTCTTTACCTCCTATTCTCTAAGCATTCTTCCTAAACATGTTTGGTTTTGCTTTAGTTTGCATCAGTGTGTTTTTATGACAGGTGTATATGGTTCTCTTAACACATGCATGTGTCATGATATAAATGCACATACCTGCAGGACAGTCTCCCTCTGACATAATGAGGACTTCAGATTGCAGCTTGCAGGCGTCTCTACGGAGGAAACACTCGTTCTGGTAGTTTTTGTTGTTAGAGCCGCACACTGGGGCATAGTCATTGTTGCACTGCAGAGAAAAGAGAAAAACCAGAATGAAAATAAGCAAAGAAAATCATGACCTCTGCAACATTACATCCAATTACGTTACGAGGAAGTGTTTTTCACACCTGGAGAGTTACAGTACTGGTGCATTCAGTTGGTGAAAAATACCACTGAAACCAGTTTAGCTAAACAGTGCAGAGAAGATATATAAGCCAGCAGAAATGTTTGGTCAATATTAGCGTTTTTAAATTTTTTTATGTCTTGTCTTGTCTCGGTATCAGACGATAGGAGGGAATTTTGTTCCATTATTGCTGCAAGCGGATAAAAAAATGTAAAAATGGAATAATAATGGAATAAAAAATGAAATCCAGAAATTAAAAGCTAAAACTATAATTATTTTTCATATATTGTTGTTTTTTCCCCCCACTTTTTTAGATCTTATATTGAAATAAAAATGTTTAAAACTCCCCTTTTTCAAATTTACATGCATTTACAACATCACATTCTCCTCATCCCATCCTGACCAAATGAAATAAGTCTGTACTCTTAAGCTCATCTCCAAAATGTAAGAGAATTTGATCTTTAAAAAGCATTTTAAAATGAATGCAATGAACAAAACTCAATCTGAAAAAGAGAAATTTGAAAAATGCTAATTGAAAAATTTAATTCTGAAAAGAAAAAAAAAAATAAGATTTGAAAAAGGTACAAATTAATATCTGAGAAAACAGCAATTTTTTGAGTTTTTACGACATTAGTGGCTTGTTTTTTGAAACAGAAGGCTGACAGACAACCACGCCACCAAAGCACTCCCAGATTTATCTTTTTCAAATGTCCATTTACAAACATGTTGTTTGCTTGTAACAATAATGCAACAAAATTCACTCCATATAAAGTGTATGGATTTGCCGATTTAGTTCTTGCCATGCAATGTATGCATTTCATGCTCACATGAAGAACATTGCCTTTCTTTCCATTTGACATCCATTATAAATCAATAGTTCCTTTTATTATTTAGGCTAGTAAAACATCTATAATCATGGCTTGATTTTTCAACATGTAAATATATCAGCCCGACTAGGGGTCCAGAGCCCTACTTTGGGAACCCGTTTTACTTTATCTGTTGCTAAAGATTTAAAAAAGCCCATCTTGTGTGAATAAACCACTATCAAAATGTTAAAAATGTTCAAATCCAAAGGTCAAACAAGTCAAACTGAAAATTTTTTAGCAGGTTTCCATTCCTGTAGAATGTACAATAAGCCCAAACACAGCTGAGCTTGGCCAGAGCACAGAGACGTTATATAAGAAGACTCTTTATGAAAATTCATATGATCTGCATGTCTGTTAATAACTCTGCCACATGATTTTTATGTATAGAAAGAATTAAAACCTGTTTTCTCTTTTTATTCTTTTCTATAAAATATATTAATCCAAATAGTGGACTGAAAGTGGGGAAAAAACAGCCATAGTTGGAGTAAAAACTTTTAGGAAAGCTAGAGAACTATTGATCTACACCTTTTTACACGGATAAAAGTCCAGCTGCTTAGAGGTAAAAGGAAAGAAATGAGGAATGACTCGACAGTTTTGAAGTTATCTCTGTGAAAGCTCCATTAGATGAAGAACTCCAGGTGATGACCTCCTGCAGCTGTTTACCTGAATAATGTTTTTTAAAGCTTACCCTGTGATTTCTACAGGTAACTGAGTCTATACAGCAGTAAACTTTTGATGCAAGTTAAGAAAATATTATCAACTTTAAGATGCCGAGTCCTGGCATTTATGAGAAACTATAAGATTCGTGCTGTGAAGTCTTTAAACAACACTTTTGTGTTTTAAACAGGAAAAAATGGCAACTTGTTATGCTTTCATCTCCTTTTTAACTTGGAGAGGATAGTTATAGTTGACTTCACTGAGTTCTGCAGAAAAATAGCTTTACCTCCTGCTGATCTCCTCGTGTTGCTCCAATGGAGCAGTGGGAGGTTAAGTGACTTGCTCAAGGGCACTCAGGAAAATGGCTGTTAAGGTACAGAGCAACATTACTCATTCATATCCCCACACGGTTTGTTGGCTACAGAGCACGTCTGGATTTTTCAGATGACTGATGGCACTCCAGGACTGAGTCTCAGCGTTCCTTTTTGGGGAACCGAGGAGGGCTATTCATTTGATTTCATATTGATTTTCTGCTGCTACACTGCTGGAATAACAAACGTGATTATTCACTGGAAAAATATTCCCCACCGTTCCCCATGAAGAGGCCGCGGCTATCTTAGGCGACAGAGGAACTGCTGCGTATTACCTGATTACATTAAACAGTGAGGAAAATTTGGTGGTGAGTGAAAAAGTCTTTCCTGCTGTGTGAAATGACACAAACTGAAGAATTTATCTCAGGAGAATAAAGCAGAACTAAAGGATTAAACAGGCTTTACTGTGAACCTGAGATCTTTCCTCATACATGTCCCGGCAGGGATGCAAATTGAAAGTTTCCATCATTTTTATTTTTAAAAAGAAAAGCTTTGATATAGCTTTAATTCATGAAGCCATTTAATACCGAAAACCTAAAGAACACTAAGATTACTCCACATGTATTCGTGTTCAACTCTGAATTATTTTTTTTTTGGTATATTTGTTCAAACCAATATCTTATTGTGACTGTGGTCAGGCTTCAGTCTGAACATTTCAGTGAACAACATTTGTAGAAGGAGAATGTAAATGTCACACACCAGCCTGCTCTTTACAGAAGTAAGAATGGATGCCGGCAACTTTATTTCATTAAATTATTAAGCATCAGTATTATGACCAAACGTATGAATACAATCAGACTCTCCGTCCATTATTCTCTTCTTCCTGAGCTATCTGTATAGTTATGCTGCTATAGGTTTAGACTTCTGGAGGACATAGGGACCCCCATTTCATCATTCTGCTTCATTCTCTCTCTATTCTCCTATTCTGCAGAATCTGTTAGTTCAATCTCTAACGTTTTGCTCTCTCTGCTTCATCTGGTCTGTTCCTGTTTGGCTGTGACTCCATCCTGGAGAGAAACATCAGCTGTGCTGCTTCCATCAACACCCTTGTTTATAGATGCTGGAGATCGGCCTGTTTTCCAGTGTGATCCTGTTTCTCTGACCGTGACTGACTGGATGCTCTCTCTTCGTCCTCTGGCATGGGAGCTGGCTCGGAGCTTGTCTGCCTGTCTGTGTGTTTCCTGCCTTTTACAGCTGCTTTTTGTGTCTCTGCTTCTGTCTCCTTGAACCCCAGTCGGCCTCAGCAGATGGCCGCTCACACTGAGCCTGGTTCTGCTGAAGGTTTCTTCCTGTTAAAAGGGAGTTTTTCCTCTCCACTGTCGCTACAAGCATGCTTAGTGTGAGGGATTGTATTTGAGTCAATGAGTCAATGCCATCAACTGGTCTTCCTTATATAGAAAACTTTGTATCAATTTGACTGAATGATCTGGTTGAACAGTAAAGTGCCTTGAGATGACATGTGTTGTGAATTTGGTGCTATATAAATAAACTGAATTGAATTGAATTGAATAAAGGTAAGGGAAAAAACAGCTATTTACCATAGCCTTTTGTGAAGTAGTGACTGCTGAGAAATGTGAGCTCTCTGTTAGGCTGGATGCAGTTTGTGCTGCACTTCTTGAAGGGATTAGCATATTGAGTCTCTCTGCATTGGCTGATTGGTTCTGGGTGGCCAGATGGGCAGCTGTTTGATTGTTGTCAGCAGTAAAGTGCTAGCACTAGCCTTGCTAGTTGGAAGAAAAATAGCAGCAATAAAGAAACAGTATGTGCACAAAACCGTTTCTCCCCCCAAGTTTTTTATTGTCATTACGCTGTCACAAGTACAGAGTAACGAAATTCACTCTTTGCATTTAACCCATCCCCTAGGGGAGCAGTTGGGTTCCATTGTGTGGGGCCGGAGGAGCAATTTGGCGTTAAGGGTCTTTGCTCCTGGACACAGATTGGAAGTCCGTGGGGGCGGGGCTTGAAGTAGAACCTCTGCATTCCAAGTGCGATGCCCTAACCACTAGTCTGGCAATCCCATCTAGTCTCCTAGGTCCAGAGTTTGGAGTTTGGGCTTATGAATGAGATCTGTTGCAAACTTGGGATCATATAATACTATAAGAATTCAGGCAAACCAAATTTCTTCAATTTGCTTTCTGTTTTTTCTTGCTTGTGGCTGAATGCTTTGGTTTCTAACGGTCCTGCATGCATTTAACCAGACTGGCAGAAAGGATCAGAAATTGGTGTAGTTGCTGTGAAAAACTTCTCTTGTGCAGCACAAGTCATTGAAATAAATGGGTTTTAGACTGTAGTGAGGGTAATGACACTGATCCTAAAGGCCCATAAGACTGCTATCGGATACATAAGGTCACGGATTTTGTTCCAATTGTGAAAGTAGCACAATTCAGATTTTAGTGAGGTTATTGCAAGTGGGCAGTTCAGACTGTAATTTAAATCGTGGATATGGGTGGGAAACAGGGAAAAAAGAATCAGATATATCAGTTTTGGCTTCTGTATGAACTTGGTCTCATACAGACTGCTCAGTCAAATTTAAACCAACACTTTATTTCTAAATAAATGTTAAATAAACCATATATTTCTCTACTATCCAATAAAACAGCAATAGAGCAAAGCACCATAAAGCTTCAGCTGAGAGCAGGAGTTTGTAAAACAATCATAACCTTATCAATCATAGCCTTCAAGAATATGCATGAAATGAACTGATCATCAGAACATGCAAAATATTGGGGGCAATATGCAATTGTTTTTGCAACCTCCATTGCAATTGAACAAACCCCATGAAAAGCGGGTGGTGTTTCTGCATGCCTATTAACTATAGCACCCTTTAAATAAAGAGATACTGGGACACTTCATTTTTTTCTTTGTGTAAATCTGTTATTGTATCAAAAGTTGTTTTGTTGGTTATAGGTATATTTACTAGAGATACAAAACATAAATCGAATGTTATCTGTACTTTCCAGTATTAACTTTAACACTAAATGACAGAAAGATGTAATTCCATCACTATATC